AGGAAGAAGAGGAAGAGGAATGAATTTAGAAAGAGGAGGATGTGAAGGAAGAAGAATGCATTGAAGGAGAATGCAAAAAAAGAAGAAGAAGAGGAATGAATTTAGAAAGAGGGTGAAGGAAGAAGAATGAAAAAAGAGGAAGAAGGAAGAGAATGCAAAAGAAGAGGAAGAAGAAAGAAAGAGAAATGAATTTAGAAGAAGAAAGGAATGGATTTAGAAAAGGAGGAGAAGAAGAATGAAGAAGGAGAATGCAAAAAAAGAAGAAGAAGAAGAGGAATGAATTTAGAAAGAGGAGGATGTGAAGGAAGAAGAATGCATTGAAGGAGAATGCAAAGAAGAGGAAGAAGAAGAGGAATGAATTTAGAAAGAGGAGGATGTGAAGGAAGAAGAATGCATTGAAGGAGAAATGAGATTGAAAGAAGAGGAAGAAGAAGGAAAGAATGAAGAGAAAGAGGAATTTAGAAGAAGAAGAATGCATTGAAGGAGAATGCAAGAAGAAGGAAGAAGAAGAGGAATGAATTTAGAAAAGAGGAGGAAGGAAGAAGAATGATTGAAGGAGAATGCAAAAAAAAGAAGAAGAAGATGAATGAATTTAGAAAGAGGAGGATGTGAAGGAAGAAGAATGCATTGAAGGAGAATGCAAAAGAAGAGGAAGAAGAAGAGGAAATGAATTTAGAAAGAGGAGGATGTGAAGGAAGAAGAATGCATTGAAGGAGAATGGAAAGAAGAAGAAGAAGAGGAAGAATTTAGAAGGAATTGAAGGAAGAAGAATGTATTGAAGAAGAATGCAGAAGAAGAAGAGAGGAAGAAGAAGGAAATGAATGCAAAAAAGAAGGATGAATGAAAGAAAAGAGGAATGCATTGAAGGAGAAGAAAAAGAAGAAGAAGAAGAAGAGGAATGAATTTAGAAAGGAAGGAAGAAGAAGGAAGAAGAGAATGAATTTGAAGAAGAATGGAAAAGAAAGAAGAAGAAGATGAATGAATTTAGAAAAGAGGAGGAAGTGAAGGAAGAAGAATGCATTGAAAGGAGAGATGCAAAAAGAAGAAGAAGAAGATGAAGGAAGAAAGAAAGGAAGAAAGAATGCAAAGAAGAAGAAGAAGAATGAAATGAAAAGAAGAAGGAAGAAGAAGAAGAGGAATGAATTTAGAAAGAGGAGGATGTGAAGGAAGAAGAATGCATTGAAGGAGAATGCAAAGAAGAGGAAGAAGAAGAGGAATGAATTTAGAAAGAGGAGGATGTGAAGGGAAGAAAGAATGCAAAGAAGAGGAAGAAGAATGAAAAAGAAGGAAAAAGAAGAAGATGAATGAATTTAAAAAGAAGGAGGAAGTGAAGGAAGAAGAAAGTGAAGGAAAAGAAAAAAAAGAAGAAAGATGAATGAATTTAGAAAGAGGAGGATGAAGGAAGAAGAATGCATTGAAGGAGAATGCAAAGAAGAGGAAGAAGAAGAAGAGGAATGAATTTTAAAAGGAGGAGGAAGAAGAATGCATTGAAGAAGCAAAAGAAGAAGAAGAAGAATTGAAAGAGGAGGAAGAAGAAGAAGAAGAAAAAGAAGAAATGAAGAAAGAAAGAGGAGGAGGAAGGAAGAAGAATGCATTGAAGGAATGCAAAGAAGAAAGGAAGAAGAAGAAGAGGAATGAATTTAGAAAGAGGAGGAAGAAGAAGGAAGAAGAATGCATTGAAGGAGAATGCAAAGAAGAAGAAGAAGAAGAGGAATGAATTTAGAAAGAGGAGGAAGGAAGAAGAAGAAGAAGAAGAAGAAGATGAATGAATTTAGAAAGAGGAGGATGAAGGAAGAAGAATGCATTGAAGGAGAATGCAAAGAAGAGGAAGAAGAAGAAGAATGAAGAAAGAGGAGGATGAAGGAAAAGAATGCAAAGAAGAAGAAGAATGAATTTAGAAGGAGGATGTGAAGAAGAAGAAGAATTGAAGAAGAGAATGAATTTAGAAAGAGGAGGAAGAAGGAAGAAGAATGAAAGAAGAAAAAGATGAAGAAGGAAGAAGGAGGATGGAAAGAAAGGAAGAAGAAGAAGATGAATGAATTTAGAAAGAGGAGGAAGAAGAAGGAAGAAGAATGAATTGAAGGAGGAATGTGAAAAGAAGAAGAAGAAGAAGAAGAATGAAAGAAAAGAAGGAGGATGAAGAAGAAGAAGGATGAAGGAGAATGAAAAGAAGAAGAAGAAGAAGAAATGAATTTAGAAGAAAGAGGATGGAAGGAAGAAGAATGTATTGAAGGAGAATGCAAAGAAGAGGAAGAAGAAGAAGAAGAATGAATTTAGAAAGAAGAGGAAGAAGAAGGAAGAAGAATGATTGAAGGAGAAGAAGGAAGAAGAGAAGAAGAAGAAGAAGAAGAAGAAGAAGAAAGAGGATGGATGAAGGAAGAAGAATGAAAAAAAAGAAGAAGAAGAGGAATGAATTTAGAAAGAGGAGGAAGTGAAGGAAGAAGAATGCATTGAAGGAGAATGCAAAAAGAAAGAAGGAAAGAAGAGGATGAAGGAAGAAGATTGAAGGAAGAATGCAAAGAAAGAAGAAGATGAATGAATTTAGAAAGAAGAGGATGAAGGAAGAAGAATGCATTGAAGAGAAAGTAAAAGAAGAAGAAGAAGAAGAGGAATGAATTTAGAAAAGAGGAGGATGTGGGAAGGAAGAAGAAGAAGAAGGAGAATGAAGAAGAAGAAGAAGAAGAAGAGGAAATGAATTTAGAAAGAGGAGAATGAAGGAAGAAGAATGAAGAAGAAGAAGAAGATGAAATGAATTTAGAAAGAGGAGGATGAAGGAAGAAGAAAGCATTGAAGGAGAATGCAAAGAAGAAGAAGAAGAAGAGGAATGAATTTAGAAGAGGAGGATGAAGGAAGAAGAATGCATTGAAGGAGAATGCAGAAGAAGAAGAAGACGAAGAAGAAAGGAATGAATTTAGAAAGAGCATTGAAGGATGAAGAAGGAAATTGAGAAAAGGAGAATGCAAAGAAGAAGAAGAAGAAGAATGAATTTAGAAAAGAGGAGGATGAAGGAAAGAAGAATGCATTGAAGAAGAATGCAAAGAAGAAGAAGAAGAAGAATGAATTTAGAAAGAGGAGGATGAAGGAAGAAGAATGCATTGAAGGAGAAAGCAAAGAAGAGGAAGAAGAAGAGGAAATGAATTTAGAAAGAGGAGGATGAAGGAAGAAGAATGATTGAAGGAGATGAAAAAGAAGAAGAAGAAGAAGAGGAATGAATTTAGAAAGAGGAGGAGAAGAAGAAGAAGGAAGAAGAATGCAGAAAAGAAGAAGAAGATGAATGAATTTAGAAAGAGGAGGATGTGAAGGAAGAAGAATGAAGGAAGAAGAAGAAGAAGAAGAATGAAAGAAAGAGGAGGAAGAAGGAAGAAGAATGCAAAATTGAAGGAAGAAGAAGAGGAGAAGAAGAAGAATGAAAGAAGGAAGAAGAAGAAGAAGGAAGAAGAAGAAGAAGAGGAAGAAGAAGAAGAAGAAAGGAAAGGAAAGAAGGAAGAAGAAGAAAAAAAAAGAAGAAGATGAATGAATTTAGAAAGAGGAGGAAGATGAAGGAAGAAGAATGCATTGAAAAGAAGAAGAAGAAGAGAAGAAGAAGAAGAGGAATGAATTTAGAAAGAGGAGGATGAAGGAAGAAGAATGCATTGAAGGAGATTGCAAAAAGAAGAAGAAGACGAGGAATGAATTTAGAAAAGAGGAGGATGAAGAAGGAAGAAGAATGCAAAGAAGAAGAAGATGAAATGAAGAAGAAGAGGAGGAGGAAGGAAGAAGAATGCATTGAAGGAGAAGGAAAAGAAGAAGAAGAAGAAGAGGAATGAATTTAGAAAGAGGAGGATGAAGGAAGAAGAATGCATTGAAGGAGAATGCAAAGAAGAAGAAGAAGAAGAAGAGGAATGAATTGAAAAAGAGGAGGATGAATGAAGGAAGAGGAGAGGAAGAAAGGAAGAAGAATGCAAAAGAAGAAGAAGAGGAAATGAATTTAGAAAGAGGAGGATGGAAGGGGAAGAAGAATGAAGAAGAAGAAGAAGAAGAAGAAGAAGAAAGAGGAAGAGGAATGAAAGAAGAAGGAAGAAGAAGGAGAATGCAAGGGAAGAGGAAGAAGAAGAAGAGGAATGAATTTAGAAAGAGGAGGAAGTGAAGGAAGAAGAATGCATTGAAGGAGAATGCAAAGAAGAGGAAGAAGAAGAAGAATGAATTGAATGAAAGAGGAGGAGGAAGAAGAAGAATGCAAAAAAGAAGAAGAAGAAGAATGAAGAAAGAGGAGGAAGTGAAGGAAGAAGAATGCATTGAAGGAGAATGCAAAGAAAGAAGAAGAAGAAGAGGAATGAATTTAGAAAGAGGAGGATGAAGGAAGAAGAATGCATTGAAGGAGAAGAAAAAGAAGAAGAAGAAGAAGGGAATGAATTTAGAAAAGGAGGATGAAGGAAGAAGAAGAAGAAGAAGCAAAAGAAGAAGAAGAAGATGAATGAAGAATGCAAAAAGAAGAAGAAGTGAATGGAAGAAAGAATGCAGAAGAAGAAGCATTGAAATGCAAAAAGAAGAGGAAGAAGAAGAAGAGGAATGAATTTAGAAAGAGGAGGAAGTGAAGGAAGAAGAATGCATTGAAGGAGAATGAAAGAAGAAGAAGAAGAAGAGGAATGAATTTAGAAAATTGAAGAAGAAGAATGCTGAAAAAGAAGAAGAAGAATGAATTTAGAAAAAGGAGGAAGAAGAATGAAGAAGAAGAAGAAGAAGAAGAAGAAGATGAATGAATTTAGAAAGAGGAGGATGAAGGAAGAAGAATGCATTGAAGGAGAATGCAAAGAAGAGGAAGAAGAAGAAGAGGAAATGAAAAGAAAGAGGAGGAAGGAAGGAAGAAGAATGCATTGAAGGAGAATTGCAAAGAAGAAGAAGAAGAAGAAGAGGAATGAATTTAGAAAGAGAAGGATGAAGAAGAAGCAAAAAGAAGAAGATGAAGAATGAGAAAAGGAAAGAAGAAGAAGAGAATGCAAAGAAGAAGAAGAGGAATGAATTTAGAAAGAGGAGGAAGAAGGAAGAAGAATGCATTGAAGGAGAATGAAAAAGAAGAAGAAGAAGAAGAGGAATGAATTTAGAAAGAGGAGGAAGTGAAGGAAGAAGAATGCATTGAAGGAGATTGCAAAAAGAAGAAGAAGAAGAAGAGGAATGAATTTAGAAAAGAGGGATGTGAAGGAAGAAGAAGAAGGAGAATGAAAAAGAAGAAGAAGAAGATGAATGAATTTAGAAAGAGGAGGAAGTGAAGGAAGAAGAATGAAGAAAGAATGCAAAGAAGAAGAAGAATGAATGAATTTAGAAAGAAGAGGAGGATGAAGGAAGAAGAATGCATTGAAGAATGCAAAGAAGAGGAAGAAGAAGAATGAATGAAAGAGAGGAAAGAGGAGGAAGAATGCAAAGAAGAAGAAGAATGAATTGAAGGAGAATGCAAAGAAGAATGAAGAAGAAGAAGATTGAAGGAGAAGAATAAAGAAGAAGAAGAAGAAGAAGAATGAATTTAGAAAAGGAGGAATGAAGGAAGAAAAGAAGAAGAAGAAGAAGATGAATGAAAGAAAGAGGAGGAGTGAAGGAAGAAGAAAGAAGAATTTAAAAGAAAGAAGAAGAAGAAGAGGAATGAATTTAGAAAGAGGAGGATGAAGGAAGAAGAATGCATTGAAGGAGAATGCAAAGAAGAGGAAGAAGAAGAGGAATGAATTTAGAAAGAGGAGATGAAGGAAGAAGAATGCAAAAAGAAGAAGAGATTGCAAAGAAGAAGAAGAAGAAGGAATGAATGAATTTGAAAGAGGAGGAAGAAGAAGAAGAATGAAGAAGAAGAAGAAGAGGAAAGGAAGAAGGAAGAAGAAGGAAGAAGAATGCAAAAAGAAGAAGATGAATGGAAGAAGAGGAGGATTGAAGGAAGATTGCAAAGAAGAAGAAGAAGAAGATGAAATGAAAGAAAGAGGAGGAGAAGAAGAAGAATGAAGAAGAAGAAGAAGAAGAAGGAAGAAGAATGAAGAAGAAGAATGCAAAGAAGAAGAATGAAGAAGAAGAAGAGGAATGAATTTAGAAAGAGGAGGATGTGAAGGAAGAAGAATGCATTGAAGGAGAATGCAAAGAAGAGGAAGAAGAAGAAGGAATGAATTTAGAAAGAGGAGGATGAAGGAAGAAGAATGCAAAAAAGAATGCAAAAGAAAGAAGAAATGAATTGAAGGAGAAAGAGGAGGATGAATGAAGAAGAAGAAGATTAAAAAAGAAGAAGAAATGAATTTAGAAAAGAGGAGGAAGTGAAGGAAGAAGAATGCATTGAAGGAGAATGCAAAGAAGAAGAAGAAGAAGAAGAGGAATGAATTTAGAAAGAGGAGGATGATGAAGGAAGAAGAATGCATTGAAGGAGAATGCAAAGAAGAAGAAGAAGAAGAAAATGAATTTAGAAAGAGGAGGAATGAAAGGAAGAAGAATGATTGAAAGAAGAAATGAAAGAGGAGGAAAGGAAGAAGAAGAAGAGGAGATGAAAGAATTGCAAAAAGAAGAGGAGAAAGAGGAGGAAAGAAGAAGAAGAAGGAAGAATGCAAAAAGAGGAAGAAGAAGATGAATGAATTTAGAAAAGGAGGATGAAGAAGAAGAATGAAAAAGAAGAGAGAAGAATTTGAAAAAGAAAGAAGAAAGAAGAAGAAGAGAAATGAATTTAGAAAAGAGGAGGGAAAGGAAGAAGAATGAAGGAAACCAAAGAAGAAGAAGAAGATTGAAGGAGAAAGAAGAAGCATTGAAGAAGAAGAAGAAGAAGAGGAATGAATTTAGAAAGAGGAGGATGAAGGAAGAAGAATGCATTGAAGGAGAATGAAAGAGGAAAGAAGAAGAAGAAGAAGAGAAGAGGAATGAATTTAGAAAAAGAGGAGGAAGAAGAAAGGAAGAAGAATGGAAGGAAAGAAGGAGAAATGAAGAAAAGAAGAAGAAGAAGAAGAAGAAAAGAAATTTGAAAGAAAGGGAGGAGATGAAAAAGAAGAATGCAAAAAAAGAAGAAGATGAATGAAGAAGAGAAAGAGGAGGATGAAGGAAGAAGAATGCAAAGAAAAGAAGACAGAATGAATTTAGAAAGAGGAATGAAAGAAGAAGAAAAATTGAAGGAGAAGCAAAGAAGAGGAAGAAGAAGAAGAGGAATGAATTTAGAAAAGAGGAGGAAGTGAAGGAAGAAGAATGCATTGAAGGAGATTGCAAAGAAGAAGAAGAAGAAGAGGAATGAATTTAGAAAGAGGAGGAATGAAGGAAGAAGAAATTGAAGGAGATTGCAAAAGAAGAAGAAGAAGAAGAGGAATGAATTTAGAAAGAGGAGGGCGGAAGGAAGGAAGAATGCAAAAAAAGAAGAAGATGAATGAATTTAAAGAAAGAGGAGGAAGTGAAATGAAGAAGAATGCAAAGAAGAAGAAGAAGATGAATGAATTTAGAAAGAGGAGGATGGAAGAAGAAGAATGCATTGAAGGAGAATGCAAAGAAGAGGAAGAAGAAGAAGAGGAATGAATTTAGAAAGAGGAGGAATGTGAAGGAAGAAGAATGCATTGAAGGAGATTGCAAAAGAAGAAGAAGAAGAAGAGGAATGAATTTAGAAAGAGGTGGAAGTGAAGGAAGAAGAATGCAAAAAAAGAAGAAGATGAAAGAAGAAGAAGAGGAGGAAATGAAAGGAAGAAGAATGCATTGAAGGAAGAAGAAAGAAGAATGAAGAAGAAGAGGAGGAATGAAGGAAAGAGAATGAAGAAGAAGGAAAAAAGAAGAATGCAGAAAGAGAGGAAGAAGAAGAAGGAATGAATTTATTGAAAAGAGGAGGAAGTGAAGGAAGAAGAATGCATTGAAGGAGATTGCAAAAGAAGAGGAAGAAGAAGAAGATGAATGAATTTAGAAAGAGGAGGAAGTGAAGGAAGAATGCAAATTGAAGGAGATTGCAAAAGAAGAAGAAGAAGAAGAGGAGGAAGAATTTAGAAAGAGGAGGATGAAGGAAGAAGAATGCAAAAAAAGAAGAAGATGAATGAATTTAGAAAGAGGAGGAAGTGAAGGAAGAAGAATGCAAAGAAGAAGAAGAAGATGAAGAAGGGAAGAAAGAGGAGGATGAATGAAGGAAGAAGAATGCATTGAAGGAGAATGCAAAAAGAAAGAAGAAGAAGAGGAATGAATTTAGAAAGAGGAGGAAGTGAAGGAAGAAGAATGCATTGAAGGAGATTGCAAAGAAGAAGAAGAAGAAGAGGAATGAATTTAGAAAGAGGAGGAAGTGAAGGAAGAAGAATGCATTGAAGGAGATTGCAAAGAAGAAGAAGAAGAAGAGGAATGAATTTAGAAACAGGAGGATATGAAGGAAGAAGAATGCAAAAAAGAAGAAGATGAATGAATTTAGAAAGAGGAGGAAGTGAAGGAAGAAGAATGCAAAGAAGAAGAAGAAGATGAATGAATTTAGAAAGAGGAGGGAAGGGAAGAAGAATGCATTGAAGGAGAATGCAAAGAAGAGGAAGAAGAAGAAGAGGAATGAATTTAGAAAGAGGAGGAAGATGAAGGAAGAAGAATGCATTGAAGGAGATTGAAGGAAGAAAAGAAGAAGCAAAAGAAGAAGAAGAGGAATGAATTTAGAAAGAGGAGGAATGAAGGAAGAAGAAAAAAAAAAGAAGAAGAAGAAGAAAGAAGAAGAAGAGGAAAAGAAGAAGAACCAAAAGAAGAAGAAGGAAGAAGAATGCAAAAGAAAAGAGGAGGATGAAGGAAGAAGAAGGAAGTGAAGGAAGAAGAATGCAAAGAAGAGAAGAAGAAGAAGAGGAATGAATTTAAAAAGAGGAGGAAGTGAAGGAAGAAGAATGAATTTGAAGGAGAATGCAAAGAAGAAGAAGAAGAAGAAGAAATGAATTTAGAAAGAGGAGGAAGTGAAGGAAGAAGAATGCATTGAAGGAGACAAAAGAAGAAGAAGAAGAAGAAGGAATGAATTTAGGAAAGAGGTGGATGAATGAAGGAAGAAGAATGCAAAAAAGAAGAAGATGAATGAATTTAGAAAGAGGAGGAAGGAAGGAAGAAGAAGAATGAAAAGAAGAAGAAGAAGATGAATGAATTTAGAAAGAGGAGGATGTGAAGGAAGAAGAATGCATTGAAGGAGAATGCAAAGAAGAGGAAGAAGAAGAAGAGGAATGAATTTAGAAAGAGGAGGAAGTGAAGGAAGAAGAATGCATTGAAGGAGATTGCAAAGAAGAAGAAGAAGAAGAGGAATGAATTTAGAAAGAGGTGGATATGAAGGAAGAAGAATGCATTGAAGGAGATTGCAAAGAAGAAGAAGAAGAAGAGGAATGAATTTAGAAAAGGAGGAATGAAGGAAGAAGAATGCAAAAAAGAAGAAGATGAATGAATGAAGAAAAAGAGGAAGGAAGGAAGAAGAATGCAAAAAAAGAAGAAGAAGATGAATGAATTTAGAAAGAGGAGAAGGAAGAAGAAAGAAGGAGAATGCAAAAGAAGAAGAAGAAGAGGAATGAATTTAGAAAGAGGAGGAAGTGAAGGAAGAAGAATGCATTGAAGGAGATTGCAAAGAAGAAGAAGAAGAAGAGGAAATGAATTTAGAAAGAGGGAGGAAGTGAAGGAAGAAGAATGCAAGAAGGAGAGAAGAAGAAGAAGAAGAAGAAGAGGAATGAATTTGAAGAAAGAGGAGGATATGAAAGAAGAAGAATGCAAAAAAAAAGAAGAAGATGAATGATGTTAGAAAGAGGAGGAAGTGAAGGAAGAAGAATGCAAAGAAGAAGAAGAAGAAGAATGAATTTAGAAAAGAGGAGGAATGAAGGAAGAAGAATGCATTGAAGGAGATTGCAAAGAAGAAGAAGAAGAAGAAGAGGAATGAATTTAGAAAGAGGAGGAAGTGAAGGAAGAAGAATGCATTGAAGGAGATTGCAAAGAAGAAGAAGAAGAAGAGGAATGAATGAAAGAAGAGGAAGTGAAGGAAAGAGGAAGGAGAATGCAAAAAAAGAAGAAGGAAGAAAGAATGAAGAAGAAAAAAGAAGAAGAATGAGAATGAATTTAGAAAGAGGAGGGAGAAGGAAGAAGAAATTGAAAGAATGCAAGAAGAAGAAGAAGAAAGGAATGAATTTAGAAAGAGGAGGAAGTGAAGGGAAGAAGAATGCATTGAAGGAGATTAAAAAGAAGAAGAAGAAGAAGAAAAAGAGGAATGAAGGAAGAAGAAGAGAAGAGAATTGCAAAGAAGAAGGAAAGAAAGAATGAATTGAAGGAGATGCAAAGAAAGAAGAAGAAGAAGAGGAATGAATTTAGAAAAGAGGAGGAAGGAAGGAAGAAGAATGCATTGAAGGAAGAAGAAGAAGAAGAAGAAGAGGAATGAATTTAGAAAGAGGAGGATATGAAGGAAAAGAATGAAGAGGAAAAGAAGAAGATGAATGAATTTAGAAAAGGAGGAGTGAAGGAAGAAGAAGAATTGAAGGAGACAAAAGAAGAAGAAGAAGAAGAGGAATGAATTTAGAAAGAGAGGAAGATGAATGCAAAGAAAGAAGAAGAATGAATTGAAGGAGAAAATGCAAAGAAGAGGAAGAAGAAGAAGAGGAATGAATTTAGAAAAGAGGAGGAAGTGAAGGAAGAAGAATGTATTGAAGGGAGACAAAAAAGAAGAAGAAGAAGAAGAGGAAATGAATTTAGAAAAAGGAGGAAGAAGGATGAAGGAAGAAGAATGCAAAAAAAGAAGAAGATGAATGAATTTAGAAAGAGGAGGAAGTGAAGGAAGAAGAAAAAAGAAGAAGAAGATGAATGAATTTAGAAAGAGGAGGATGTGAAGGAAGAAGAATGCATTGAAGGAGAATGCAAAGAAGAGGAAGAAGAAGAAGAGGAATGAATTTAGAAAGAGGAGGAAGTGAAGGAAGAAGAATGCATTGAAGGAGATTGCAAAGAAGAAGAAGAAGAAGAGGAATGAATTTAGAAAGAGGAGGAAGTGAAGGAAGAAGAATGCATTGAAGGAGATTGCAAAGAAGAAGAAGAAGAAGAGGAATGAATTTAGAAAGAGGTGGATATGAAGGAAGAAGAATGCAAAAAAGAAGAAGATGAATGAATTTAGAAAGAGGAGGAAGTGAAGGAAGAAGAATGCAAACAAGAAGAAGAAGATGAATGAATTTAGAAAGAGGAGGATGTGAAGGAAGAAGAATGCATTGAAGGAGAATGCAAAGAAGAGGAAGAAGAAGAAGAGGAATGAATTTAGAAAGAGGAGGAAGTGAAGGAAGAAGAATGCATTGAAGGAGATTGCAAAGAAGAAGAAGAAGAAGAGGAATGGGAAAGAAGGAGGAAGTGAAGGAAGAAGAATGCATTGAAGGAGATTGCAAAAGAAGAAGAAGAAGAAGAGGAATGAATTTAGAAAGAGGAGGAAGGAAGAAGAAGAAAAAAAGAAGAAGATGAATGAATTTAGAAAAGAGGAAGAAGAAGAAGAATGAAAGAAGAAGAAGAAGATGAATGAATTTAGAAAGAGGAGGATGAAGGGAAGAAGAATGCATTGAAGGAGAATGCAAAGAAGAGGAAGAAGAAGAAGAGGAATGAATTTAGAAAGAGGAGGAAGTGAAGGAAGAAGAATGCATTGAAGGAGATTGCAAAGAAGAAGAAGAAGAAGAGGAATGAATTTAGAAAGAAAGAGAAGGAAGAAGGAAGGATTGAAGAATGCAAAAAAGAAGAAGAAGAAATGAATGAATTTAGAAAGAGGAGGAAGTGAAGGAAGAAGAATGAAAAAGAAGAAGAAGAAGATGAATTTAGAAAGAGGAGGATGAAG